CAATTTAAAGTTCTGTTTTTTTCATAAAGAAATATCATGCTTTTTACATTTAAATCATTCAGCTGGGGTCTGTTTGAAGTGGAACTGCAATGCTTTGGTTTATGTTCCTCCTTATTGTAACTCCACAAGCCCCTCTTTCTCCCCTTTTCTAAGGTGTGTCTCAGATCAACCAATTTTGAGGCTTTTACTTTAAATGCAAACAAGATGCTTCACCCCTCACACCCCTCCAGCTTCCAGAGTGGTCCATTCTAGTTTGATAGAGGGGTTTACAACTATATAGTGGCGCATAAACTTTTTATTTATAAATTAATTAAAATACGTCAACAGCAGAAGACCATCCCATCCAGCTTTATGTGTTGGAGCCAGAGTCTGACCCAGAGCCACAAGGCTCACCTACGACCAACAATAATGTCACTGGTAAGTCCAGGACTTAATTAGAAATTCCATTGCAAATTTTGTGACATATTGCACTGCCTGGCCAAATAAAAAGGTCACACACGCTAATATTTTGGACTGCCTTTAGCTTTGATTATGGCACACATTTGCATTGTTTCAATAAGCTTCTGCAATGTCACAGGATTTATTTCCATCCAGTGTTGCATTAAATTTACACCAAGATCTTGCATTGATGATGGTAGAGTCTGACCGCGRCGTAAAGCCTTCTCCAGCACATCCTAAAGATTCTCAGTGGACTCTGTGGAGCCAATCCATGTGTGAAACTGATGTCTCATGCTCCCTGAACCACTCTTTCACAATTCCAGCCTGATGACTCCTGGCATTGTCATCTCAGAATATGCCCGTGCCATCAAGGAAAAACAATCTATTGGTGGAATAACCTGGTCATTCAGTATATTCAGGTCAGCTGACCTCATTCTTTGAGCACAGACTGTTGCTGAACCTAGACCTGACCAACTGCACCAACCCCACATCATAGACCTTAATTAAATCTAGGTGGACTTTTTTTTTTTCGGCCAGGCAGTTTAGTTCAGATATCACCAAAAATGGAAGGCAAGCAATGATGTTTTTGTGTGTCTGTTAAAAAACTATCTGTAAAGTCACTGGAGGAAGAAAATAGCAGAAAGTTATCGTAGGATGAACATCTACAACTGACCTGACAAAGAACAAAAACATCTATAATTTGTTTAAGTTTACTATTATTCATTCAGTGTTTCTTTACCTTTCATTTGCATGTTTTTTGTGTTGGTCTTATTTTGTTTTGTTGATTCTTCTCAATGTATTGCTCATGCCTTTTGTGTCAAACAGGCCAAGAAATGTAAGACTAGGTGTGTTAACACGACCTGTCCCTTTCTGCCTGTAACTGCATGCTGTATGTTTGTGTGACGGTTCCATGAATGATTTTGTCTCCCAGCCTCATCCTCTGCAGATGGCAAGCAACAGACGCTTCCCTTAGATGAAATTCAAAAATAATTGGATAAACATAGTGCACACACGCGCACATGCACGCATGGGTACATAAATAGATGCAAAATATGCACAYGCATACCCTCACGCTAAATCATGCACACACAAAAACGTTACAACAAAAAGATTGTTGACTCTTTCATATAGAAAAAGAAATCGCAAAAAAAGAGCAAGAAAGTCGTCAGTCAGGACCAATGAGTCGTCTCCCTTTGCCCGTCTGTCCCCGACTCTAATGGCGCCCCCCCATGCTGTGATGCTTCCCTCGCATCATCAAAGCAGCACAGGCTTGAAACGGCAGGAATTGGGGTGTGTGTGTTTCTTTTTTTATGTGTGTTTCTGTGCRTGTGCGTTTCGTGGACACCCCCTGGAGAGATCTCCAGCTGTGTGTGCCACAGTAATCCCCTTTTTTTTTTCCTTCTGTCAGAGTGACTGATTGTAATGCACATGAGAGRAAACAAGCCTTCGAGTCACTTTCATGCATATGCCCACGTGCATATACACTGACACTTCATTGGGGAAAAACAGCACCGGGGCAAAGCATGGTGAACCTGTCCTCTCTCGCAGACACAACCACAAGCTTGCGGAGGAAAAACACACAGATCTATATTAAATGTTGTTTTTTGTCTTCATCACCATTATGTGATCTCAAAATGACAACTGCATAATTATGGCAACAAAAACTTACTGGTGACATTGTGYATCATTCTTTGCTACCAATGAATACAAGTCACTGGGTCAACATGATMTAATGTAGTAAAGGGTTGGTGCGTCTTCCTTCTAAAGTCATCTGAGCTAGTTGTTTCTAAGTATGAGGACAATAAAATTTAAGAGGACAGAACAAGGCAATGGGTTATGTATTTTTTTTTTCAGTTTTAGCATGTTTTCAAGGGTTTCAAACTAATTGGCTACGGGGTTTTTTTCAGTTTTTGGTGGTTTTGAAGGGTTTCTAACAAATCGGTTTTGGGTTTTTTTTTTCAGTTTTTGGTGGTTTTGAGTGTTTTTTATGGGTTTCTAACTAATCGGTATGGTTTTTTGTTTGTTTTGTTTGTTTTTTTCAGTTTTAGCTCATTTTGATGTGTTTCCAACCAATCCGTCATGAGTTTGGTGTAATTCAGACATTCTATGTGAAAGTTACAGCGTTTGGAAAAMCYATTATGTGCATCTCCAGTGTTTTAMTGTTRCTTTGTATTTTTATTTGAATGAAAATAGTAATGTCACAGTGTTTCCCTGTAGATTGAAAATCCATAAGTTTCTTTTTCTTTAATCCCATACATTATTTAATGTTGCTATTGTATAGGTTTCCTTAATATTTTTTTTTATTTAGTGTCGCTGTTGTGTTTTAGTATCTGATAGGTTCGCTGATATTTTACTCAAAAGACAAGTCATTATAGATTAATACTGACCTAAGTAAAGGCCAGGTATTTCTTAAAAGAATGTATACAGTATCCCCCACTTCTTTTCATGAGTGTTTGCATTTTTAAGCTAAAATCAGTGCTAACATAAAATTTAAGACTGTATCTGTAAAACTGACAAAGGTATAGTTCTATATATGTTTAGTTGTGTTGGCCGGCTTGAATTGCTTAAGATGGGAGATTGGGACAAAATGAAAATTTGACGCAATCAGAAGGCTTCTTTATATAGATGACTTTTTACTAACTGGCATTTTAGAACATAATTAAATGTTTTTGTACAGTGCCCTGAGAYGGCTTCTGTTGTGAACTGGCACTATATAAATARACTGAATTAAAATTTGAACTAAAATATGTGCAGTGGGTCAGGTGATATTTCTGAACAAACAGCCAAGGTTAATGCCGATGGGTAATGTCAAAGTTTGAAGCAAAAATATTGCACAATTTTGTAGTCCTCAAAKTATGAGTTGGGGATAATGTTCAGCTACTACCACACCAAACTTCAGCTCAACATCTGTAAAACAAATAAAATTGTAACCATTTTTGTGTTTGCTAAAGGGGATKAGCTGTGGTGGCCATCTTGAATTTGGTTCAATAGGTAATTGTAGAKGTACACTCAGGAATTACTTTCTGGAAAATTCTTCAAAWTACATAAATTTGTGTATGAAGTGTTTTGCTAACAGAAAAAGTTAACTAACAGTTCAGGGGAGCTTTAATATCAGAAATTAGCCCTAGTCTTCTCTAAACTGCCTCTACCTGCCGCAAGGAGTCTAACAACACCGTGCATTATCCTCCCACTCACAGCACATACGCATCATTAAGAATTTTACTCAAGAAGACAGTTAATTAGCAGTTAATTTCATACATACAATACATGCATTAGACATTCTGTATACACAGCTCAGCACATCATCTCCACACCTTTAATGAGAAACCGAATACTCTGCCTTTATCTCAGCTTGTCAGATACACAGGCTCTAAGAGCAGCTGTCACCACTGGCACATCACAACCCTGGCTGTGTTTGCTCTGTTGWTTGGATAGCCAGAGCATACACCGCACTGCTGTTTCTCAAGGTCATTGCTCTCTTATCTTAAAAAGATTTATTTGAAGCATTAGAATGGTAAAATTCACAATATATTATGGTGCATGATCAACATGTTAACCATGCAAGGATGGGGGTCGATGACCACAGATTATTGCGGGACATTTGAAAAAAAATGAATCTCTTAAAGAGCCANTATATATATATATTATTTTCTTGTTGTTCCCATGTGTTAGCACTATGATAGCTTATTTTATTTTATCAGCAGGTGACTATAAAAGAAGCACATTGGAAATGATAGATATGGAACAGGTGCATCTTYACTGACAAGTCATTAAACTGATACAAATCAAACATCAGGATATTCCCCAGCACTGAAATTGTCCATTTCATCACTGCTCTGTGTGCTTGGCTATCTTCTCCTGTTTCACTCCAGAGTGCATTGCTTCCATTACCTGATCCCCCTGACCAAGCAAGGAAATTATGCCATTGTGGCTAATGTGGAAAGCATGGACTATGACCCTCTGGTRGTCAAACTCAACAAGGACATCTCAGCCGTAGAAGAAGCTATGGGAGCCGCTCTGCAGCAGCACAAGTTCCAATATATATTTGAAGGTAAAAAGGAATATGAAGTTTTTAAGTTGACTATTTTTTAGACCAAATTTTTTTTTTAAAATTGATCATCAACTACTTTTATGACCCCTCCCTCTTTTCTCTAACTAGGTCTCGGCCATCTGATCTCTTGCATCCTGATCAACGGCGCTCAGTACTTTAAGCGGATCAGTGAGTCTGGCATCAAGAAGATGTGCAGAAACATCTTTGTCCTCCAGCAGAACCTCACCAACATCACCATGTCCAGGGAGGCCGACCTCGACTTCGCCAGGTCAGATACTTCGAATACCTGGAGCAAATACAGCATCTTCCTTTCAGCGTCATAAACCAAGAAATATAATAATACTAGAATGCAGCACTCTAGTATTGATTTGTGTGAGAGGTTAAAAACTGGGACAACTAGGATCCCTGAATGTTACTGTTGCAAATGGCTCTTTTCTTTCATATTTCACTGTTGTAATGGCAATAGTTTACAATACAAAAGTAACTGTTTTAGAAGTGATAATAGCATACTTTTTTGTCAGTGTGGCTAAGGTTTAAAGTTTTTCGCATCATTTAATTAAGTAAAATGAAACGAGAAAGGTCAGAAACGAGAATGATAGTCCAGCTTTGCAGCACACTCAGAGCAATGCACACAGCCATGCATAATGTCCTCAAGTTCAGAAGGCAACTATGTCAACGCACAAGGCCAGCAGATGGTGGAACAGATTGTCGTCCACTCTGTAGATTGTGTCCATGTGGGTATTTGTGTTTAGTCCACATTCATACATTTACATTTTGGGAGCCTACCTGCTGTTTCCCGATGCTGCTCGGCTCTGACACGTAGGAAATCAGAGCTGTGATGTTTTTGTGAACAAGGCAGAAAGAAATAAGCGATTCACTGTATTCATTAAACTTTTATTTTCCTCCTTTTTTTTAACAGTCTGAGCTTGTAAAAGAAAAAAAAAGACATAAAATGGAGAAATATGTGCAGCGTCTAGGAATGAAAAATGTCCATGTTTTCATATTTTGAAGTCCTGACATGAGTTTGGATTTCAGGTGTTCTTGTTTGTTGAGGCACATTTTAAAGTTTGTTAAACCCAGTTTGGCTCAAGTTAAAAACAAAGCTTAAATGATAAAATGTAATAACCTGAATTTGACTGGACTGTACGGGTAGTGGGGGCGATTAGCATTTTATTTCTACCCTCTGTCAACCTTGATTATGCAGAAATGGAGGTGATGGCTTTTGTGTCTTTTTCTCTCTTTCTCCCACTCTCCCTGATTACGAGGCGTGGGTGGCGTGGAGGTGTTGATTGGGAATTGTAAAGCACATTGTTTACACATTTCTGGCTTTTTGGATTGGCCGGCCTCCGACTCCAAGACTCAGACTCTTTCAAAACACACACCAAACCCCTCCAAACACAGTCACATACACAGACCTGTTGTGAATCTTTTCACTCATTTATGCAGAGTTACTCAGCAAAAGATAATTAGCAGATTTTATATACAGATGGTAAATTTTATTGAAGTGTTTGTCCAGTTATTAAAACTGGCTTTACTGCTTGTAAAAACTAAACAAATTGGATTARATAAGATTTCATTTCAAGCTCCTACTTATATGTCAATGTTGACTTCCAGGGTGACCTGACCCAAGGTTTATTATAGAATAACTTAATTTTTTTTAGATTTTTATATAAACTAAAGCTCTAGTTGGAAGCTTTTGTTGCCTCCTAACAAGTATCCTTTCAATGCTTAGACCTGTACTTGACAACAAAACTGTTCTTCATCCCCTTTTTTATTTTTCATCAGAATGCAAAAGGYTGTTTTTTTATCTCAAATATCAACTCTTTTTCTTAGATGCTTTCTTGGTTTTCCTGTTTATGATCGACTTCTCCACTCCTTGCTGCTGCTGTTCATTTCCTCATCTGTCACAAACCAATCATTCCTGGTTTAAGTAAGRCACATTGCTTCCACTTCAGACTGAAAACTCTGGTACACTGCTAACTCGTTCCTAAAACTATTGCACAATTAGACTCTCAGTCGAACATGGTTAATGAAGGAAATGGACTCCAAGTAGTTTGAACCGATTTATATGTAYAAGCATGTGTATACCACATCATTARAATTTTAAAACATGAAGCAATTTTGTTCTGMAGATACTGAGAAAGTTTGTTCAATTTGAATAAGCCGTGAAAAAGTCTTAAACGTGGGATCTAAAAGTAGAATTACCACCACTGGTAAAAGAAGGGGAGAAAAGAAAGTAATCACAGCAGGAAATCTGGCTGCAGATGCTTTCCTGTACCTTTTTTTTTTTTTGGATGTGTGTCTGTTTTGGGTTTGTCTGTGTGTGAAAGAGCCTGGACACAAGTGACACACGGGCAATGATCTGAGATAAAACTACAGTGAGGCCTGGTAACAGAACAAATGAACACATGCACCTACACACACACACACACACACGCCTCATTGGCCAAATAGACTTACATATGAGTGACGGGGCCAATTTCTCTCCTTTTCCTCTCCTTGTTAATTTATGGCCATTGATCTACACTGAGCTGAATTTATATATACTCATCATGGTCTTTGACTCTCTCCCTTTTCACATGCACGTACACACACTCGGGTCTTTTGTGTGGCTTACAATGCGGCACAGTGACACATGCTTCTGCTGCCTCAGCACCAGTGGTGGGAAGAAAGTATAAGAACACGCTGAAGGACTCAGGAAGTGTGTGAAGTTGAACTAATGGTTCAGCTTCACACACATGTAAATGAGCTGGTGTCATTTACATTTTAGCTCATAATGTCATTATGAGGTGCATATTAAAATGGAGRACTTTTTAGTGAATATGAACAAACTTATAAGAATAAATTCATGAAAGATTCCCGGGGGTGATGTCAAGGTGTAAAGCAAATTCTGAGTTGCTCTTCTGCTGAGTCTCAACTTTGACACATTGCTTTAAGTCCTTTTTAGATGATTATATTTTAATTATTTTGAGCTTCACCCGTTTAGCATAACTCAAAAATGTTAATTTTGTCGTTCTTTCTTGTTTTTGTCTGCCCAGGTGGCTTTCCATCCTCAGGAGACAGCCAGGTGCTTGGTGAGAGTGARCGCAGCAGAGAGCAGATTCTCCAGACTCTGAATGATTTGTCTCGAGGTTTCCAGGAAATTGCAGACCGTTGTCTTCTGGTATTGCATCTGGAGGTCAGGTATGCAACAGGAATGGAAAAGGGTTTATTAAAAAGTTAAACATTNTGTGTGTGTGTGTGTGTGTGTGTGTGTGTTGAGCAGGTGTATTTGTTTTGTCCTGTAACAGCCCCTTGTCACTCAGTCAGAAGTTTGGCAGCAACATAAGCTTGTAAGTCAAGGTCAAACACACACACATACATAAGTGGACACACACACTCACGCCATCTGCTCAGAGATGGGTTCTGTGGCTCATCCTGCAGACCTGTGTATCACAGCAAAGTCATCTCTAGGGGTGTGTGTGTGTGTGTGTGTGTGTGTGTGTGTGTGTGTGTGTGTGTGTGTGTGTGTGTGTGTGTGTGTGTGTGTGTGTGTGTGTGTGTGTATTGACTGCACTCTCTGCCATATCACTCCTCTGATCACCTCTTATTGTCCGTTGTAGCCACCTCTCTCTCTCTCTGTGTTTATGCTTATTGGTAGTTCCTTGACAGGAGAAGAGATAAGATAAACAGGAGAAGTTGTTTGTGAGTCCTTTATCTTGAAGACCAGAAGCCCTAATAGTTACTCATGAAAAAAAATCCAAATAGATTTAGTAAAGCTTTGAAAAAGTGTCACCTCTCAGTTCAAGTAAAGTTAACCTTTTGAATTCAGTACTAAAAACAATATTTTAGCCACTGAAAACAGATTTCTTAGTAAAATTATGTCAAATAATAGACTGAAGGAAAATTTTGTATCTGTTTTTTCAAATTTTCTTTATTTTACTTGCTCTATTAAATGATATACAAAAAAGTGACTCAACTAATATTAAATTTTGTTCGAGCTGCCATTTCACCATCTGTTTCTTCTTCACTATCTTCATGCTACTAAATTTTAAAATGCCTGTGACATCAAACTTTTGTAATAAATATGAATTATTTTTGGAAAGGTGGCATTAATCACTCATTGGAAAACAGATTTCACACTATTGAGGTGAACAGTTGTTGAGATATTCAGATGTGAAGTAACAGGAAGTGATGACAAAGGGGTGTGTCTTCATGTAAACAAAGCGTTACTACAAATAGTGGCAACAGAGTCTATAGAGAAGAATCTGATGTTCCTTTAGATCATTTTGAATCACTATCAGAGAGAAATTAAGAAGAGTCAGARTTCAGATAATTTGTTTCAATAAACAAAAGCCAGGGAGTTCCCCTTTGATGTCACTTCCTGTTTCACATTGAGCCAAGTTGAAATGTGATAAAATGTGTAAAATCGTGTGTTATGACAAGCTTCTTAATACAAAAAAAGTGTTTTCTTTGACTTTTTGTATCTGAAGTAAATGTATTTTAATGCATTTTAAAATCTTTCTTACTGCAGGTAAAAATCTCCAAGCTGAAAATGACAAGTTTTAAAGGTCTGGATGATCCAGCATAAAGAACTACAACCAAAATGTTTGCAAAGTGAACTTTTTTTTATCTGCTTTTAGGAGTTTCTAAAGTCTAACTACTGTGATTGGCCTTTGAGACAATGCAGCCCCACTACTGCCACAGTGCTGCTGTACAAACAAAAGCTTTTGAAGGCAATAATCTTAACACCTGAGCTATTTTTTGTACAAGAATGCATTTGCAGAGGAAAGACTGAATAAATGATCTTGGTCAGTGAAAACACCTTTTATATCAGCAGTAACATTTAGGTTGTGTTTTTATTCACCAGCTGAAGCACGGTTACACTGAAGGTGAAGCTCTGCACTGTCCACTGACCCATGTAGGCAGGTTGCAGACTTGTCATAACACCCGTAGTAGACTTGCAGCCGCTTAGCCAACCAGTTAGGCTAAACGCCAGTCTGACAGTCTCACTCTGGAGACACCCCCGGGTTCAGCCCATCCTCACCTACCTGTCTGCTGCTGGAAATTACCGCAGTGTTTTGGTGTGCGTGTGTGGAACGTACAAGGAGCTTTTGTACTCTGTGTTTTCCCAAACTGCCCCCCACCACCCCACTCGTCTCCGTGTGTGTGTCCGAGGTTCAGAATGTCGGCAAATAAACTCTTTTGTGTGTGTGTGTGTGTGTGTGTGTGTGTGTGTGTGTGTGTGTGTGTGTGTGTGTGTGTGTGTGTGTGTGTGTGTGTGTGTGT